TACAATCTTGACGCAGTACCTGAAAATGGCTCTGTTTCATTTTCATTTGGCCACACTGTATGTGTCTTAATTATTTGTTCCGTTTATTTTAGACCAGTTATTAACGTACATAGTTAAAGATCATTATCGTACTTTAATGAAGACAGATGATAACAGAGAAATGTGGGAATACCAATTTTTACATAAAATAATATTTCAAATTGTGCTGTTATTTTTACAAATGGTGGATAAGACTAGACTAATATAGTTTAAATTTATATTTATCTTTGTGAATGATAATTTACAGACGTATGTACTAATCCCTTATTTTACTGTTAAAATCTTTATAACACACTTAATCCATGTGCTATATTTCAGCGTAATGAAGTTTTTATAATATATAAATTTAAAAAGTAGCCTCTCAAGCCTTTCAAAAACATTCAACTTCCATTTTCAAAGTTAACAAAGTTAAATTGAGGGTTGTTCCAAAGTACTTCGCTTCCGAGGTCGGCGACACCAGATGGTGGCTGAAATTCAAATAAAAATTGCTGTTTCAGACTCATCCAAACGTAAAATGCGTATCAAAGCAATGAGGACCATGCTGCAGAAGAGGTGAGAGGTGGGGATGCCCACCTGGTGCCCGATAACCCCCTACAAGGGGCTATTCGTTGTGGTACTGATCTTCATCTTGCTGGAATACTTCTTCAACACAATTTCGGACACTAAATCGGGCCTCTCCTTCGACGCCGCCAAGTGAGTACCAGGGTTAACGACATTTTAATGGAGATCTAAGTCTTATTTCTTTAACAGAAGTAGGCATCAAACAGAAACAAATCTCTTTCAGATTGCCAAATCATGGGAGAGAACCGCAGACCTACGGACCCCTTCTGAAAACCCTGCTCTTCAAGAACAACAAGACCAACATGTATAACTTCACCACAGCTATCAGTAACTCATCTTCTCCCACCAAGAGCTCCAACTTCACCACGTACTTCAACTACATCGTCACGGAACCGCCATTCCTGACCCACAGCTTGAACAACTTGACCGGCGTCTTCGATCTATCTTCCACCACTGAATTCGAGAACGTTTCTACCACGAGAACTTTAAACTCCACGCTCCTCCCTCTGTGTCCAGACGACGTTTCCTCAAACCTACGTAAGTTGCTTCAATTTGAATCAAGGAACACCCCAGTTTTGACTTAACCATCTTCTTCAGGTGGCCGAATCCCAGTGGTGAAATCTGCCGTTCCCACCGTCCAGCAACTGGAACACTCCTTCACCTGGTTGAAGCCGGGCGGGCACTGGCAGCCGGAATCCTGCAGGGTCCTGAAGAGCGTCGCGATCGTGATCCCCTTCAGGTGCAGGGGTGAACACCTACTCCTGTTCCTGCAACACATGCATCCCTACCTGAAGAGGCAACAGCTGGACTACACCATCTTCGTGGTCGAGCAGGACGGAGACGGGCCCTTCAACAGGGCGATGCTGATGAACATAGGCTTCAAGGAGGCGCTGAACCTACGGGACTTCGACTGTTTCATATTCCACGACATCGACTTGTTGCCTGAGGACGACAGGAATCTGTACACTTGCCCGGAACAACCGAGGCACATGAGCGTGGCTATTGATATTTTTAAGTATAAGTGAGTACAATTTCCATTGATATTTTTAAGTATATGTGTGTTCAATTTCCCTTATCCTCTTTCTAGAGGTATACACGTTCTGCTCTTCTTTAGGTTGCCGTACCCCGCGATATTCGGCGGCGTGTCGGCCATCAGTAAAAAGCACTTCAAGCTCCTCAACGGGTTTTCGAATTCGTTTTGGGGTTGGGGCGGCGAAGACGACGACATGTCGAATAGGATAAGGTACCACCATCTGTTCATCTCCAGGTATCCCCTCACCATAGCCAGGTACACCATGTTGACGCACAAGAAGGACAAGCCCAGTCCAAACAGGTAAGCAGAGACGGGATATCCTCAAGAGGAGAGGGATGGGGACTGTTTAGCTCCGCCCTTACATGAAACAGATTGGTTTATCTAACATGATAATCCGGGCGAATTAGACCAAATACATGCCTGATTCAAAAATCGGGCCAACTCGAATTTTATGGGTTTAAAATTATGTAAAAAAAACGCAGAATAAAAGCCTAAATTTGTGTATTTGTAGAGGTCGAGCGTCATATTGTTTATAACAAAAGTAAAAAATAATTGCTCTTTCTTCTGTTTTTCGCTTCTATATCTCCGCAAATAAGCCTTTAATCGACATGAGCTATAAATTTGCTACAAGGATAGGTGATGCAGCTTAACTGGTCACCATAAGAGAATGGACTGTAACTTCTTTACCTTTTAAAAAATGCGTAGGTAGGGACTTAAGGCTGTAATTTTCCTTTAAATCCGGCTCGAAGGACCAAATCTTATGATGCAGGTTAACTGATCACCATAAGAGACTGGGAATGGACCGTGTTTAGTATTAAGCTATTATGAAGTACGGAATGGACTGTAACTAATAATGGAGACAAGAGAGAGAGAGAAAAAAAGGAAACTATGTATAAACTTACCAAGTGATGATGATAATGATGTCACACTATTAGGGTAGCCAAGGGTAAAAGGATACTAGAGAGTAAGGAATGGGATGATGTTGGCTACCGTATGTACTATTTGTTGATCACTATTAAAGTAAAAAAATCTACTATTGCTTACAATTAAAAATGGTCTATATCAATGTTTGTACCGATTCGTTCGAATTCTATCACACGTCTATTTTTTGCGTTTTTTTTTTAAATTCAGACTGCTTCGTGGCTACAAAACAGCACACACAGCGGTATCTATTTCTGGGAGTGCAAACCATCAAAAGATTTCTATTGTTTGAATCCATTTTTGGCTTAAACAGATCGTATCTTCTTTACCTTTTAAAACAAAATGCGTAGGTAGGATTTTTCTTTAAATCCGGCGCGAAGGACCAAATCTTATGATGCAGCTTAACTGATCACCATAAGAGACTGGGAATGGACTGTATCTTCATTTTCTTATACATAATAAAGTGGAAATTATGGACAAAGTGAAGTTTCTATTTTTATTTATTCTTGTTGTCAAGTACACGCTCTTTTTTCTGAATTCAATTCAGAGAGATTTGTTTCTTACGTGAAAAATTCTGTTGCTTAGATATATTAATTAAATCATTTTTTATTGAACCATAACAAGAGGCTTTTGCGAAAGCTCGCACTTTTTTTTGCATTACAAAATTAGCGGCGAAGGAAAAAATGTACATGTTTCAGCATTAAATAAAAATAACGAATTTGACTGAAAACTCAAACCCGCAATCCGGACCCCCAATTTCAAAATGGCGGACTATTGCAAAATTATAAAATTGAGAACGCGAGCGCGTATATCTTCTGGCCAAGTCAAGATATCGAAATTCGTCAAAAAGGATCGCGTCTGTGTAGATTTCAATTTTTTAAGTTGCAAAATAAAAAAATTATTAATAAAAAACCAAAAAAAAAAACGGTAGCTACGGTCCTTATCTCGGCGATTTTTTAATATACAGATTTCAAACCAACTACATCGAAAAAAAAGGTCTAGATCCAACTAATGAAATAGGAGTCGAGATAATTTTTTTTCTTAAAAACGGTATTCTGGCATTATTTAGTATTTTGTAATAAAGTTGGGCCCGTTGTAAAGTAGTCCTTTATACGCTGATTTTTTTTTTAATGGATTCGACCAAGTAAACGTGCGTTAAAGACAGAGTGACAAGCGCGGCGGCCCACACGGCTGAGCGGTAGCCAGGAAATAGAGAACTGTGACGTCATAGTGCACTTAGAAAGCACCTACCGGAATGTTTTTTCAAATCAACTTATTTTTTTGCGCTCTTTTGAATGGTGTAAGCAAAAGTATGTGAGCCATCGCCTGACCCAAAAAAAAATATCAACTTTTCACGTTTTCTTTTATAATTTCATTGTGCTTTCGTTATTTTCAAAAGTAAGAAGGTCTTTTTACATATTTAAAAATAAAAATCAATTATTTCTTTGAAAAAAATTATCAGTAGGTACTCTAATAATTGTTCTGATAATTTTTTTCAAATAAATAATTGACTTTTGTTTTTAAATACGTAAATAGACCTTCTTACTTTTCAAAATATCGAAAGCATAATGAAATTACAAAAAAAAAAGCGTGAGAAGTCAATAAAAATGTATTTTTGGGGTATAGCGATGACTTTCACAGACATTTGCTTACACCATTCGAAAAAGCGCAAAAAATTAAGTTCATTTAAAAAAAGCATTCCGGTAGTTTCTTTCTAAGTATCACAATCCATTCGTTAAGAATTTTGCGAAGCCGAGCGCAGCAAGGGCACTATGACGTCACAGCCCTCTCCTCTCCTGGCTACCGCTTAGCCGCGCGGATCTCGCTGCCTTTAACGAACGGTTACTTGGTCATTTCGTGGTCGAATCGTTTCAGAAAAAAAACAGCGTATAAAGGAAGTCTTCTACTTTACAACGAGCCCAAGTTTATTACAAAATATTAGATAGAACAGCCAGAATACTGTTTTTAAGAAAAAAAATTATCTCGACTCCTGTTTGTCGGATCGAGACTTTTTTTCTTTTAAATTTAAATAAAGTTTAGTTTATTGGGCTCGCTCTGTAAGTTTCTGTCGAGTCCGCTATCGTTTTTGTATATATGTTTTTGTGTGTGCAATACCGATATAAAACGGGAAATACTAGCGTTTGTATAGAGTCTTTATTATAGTAATATATGGGTCAAAATTAAATATTAAAGTGTGTTATTTATACCCTTGAGATATTACAACAGTCCATTCCCAGTCTCTTATGGTGATCAGTTAAGATGTATCACCTATCGTTGTAGCAAATTTCCTCAGGAACAAAATCGATATATTATGGCTTTTATTCTGTTCTGTTCTATTTATTTTTTACTTAATTTTAAGTCCATCAAATTTGAGTTGGGCCCGATTTTTGAAAAAAAAAAAATGTAATTCACCCAGACTGATTGGATTTCAGATATGACGTGCTGAAGCAGGGCCAAAAACGTTTCGACAAGGACGGACTGAATAGC